CACTTACTTGCAGGTGGAGACATCACAACAGGTTTTCCTGCTTCTACTGCCCAGAAAATCATTGGGGAATGCTAAATGGTATTCCCCTTTGAAGATTTTGTTTCAAGATATGCGTTCTACAAACAAGACATTGCAAAGCAGGAGTATGCCATAGTGTCAAGCGTTTTAGAGAACTGTGCTCTAGCCGGTCCGAGTCGGGATCATTCGGATACATCAGACACGGATTTATCATCGGCATCGACAGGTACATCTCAACTGACCAGTTTGAGACCAGTCATCATCTCATCATCATTTTGTACATTTGTTGCATCTTTTATCAAAGAATATGCAAATATCTGAGAAGTGTGTTTGTCTAATATCTCTAACTGGGACCCCACAAGAACAAAGTAAAAAGAAAATATCATAATATTTAATGCAGTAACTCCATTTACAATGCAAAATAGGCTGACATAAAATAACTTTTTTTGCGGTGTGTTGCTTGGTCATGTTGATGTCCCAGTTACATCAAATTGGCAGCATCCTTTTCTTTCCAGTGCAATCTAAATGGATCAATTAATGTTGACACCAATGATTGTGTAGACCGTAAAGAGCGAGTACAAATTTTGATGTTTTTCCGGATATAAAATAACATGCATCCAAACTGCAATTTTTGAAAAAGAGACAGAAAGAGACTGAAAAATTTAAGCTTAGAACTTTCTGCTTGACTTTATGCTTTTTTATTATGAAGGCAAGTGTTTGTAAATCTCTTGTTTTACAGGTATGAAAATTGAAGAAATGCCTGCTTGCAAGGTCCTTGGTCCTTAAACAAGCACTGTTCTTAACCCATCCCCTGTCCATTCTCGTTGTCATATACTTCCACTTAAAGCTGATGTTATTTTTTTCATCTGTTGTTTTTTTGTCTAGAAAGTATCTGAAAGACCAAGGATCATGGAAATGTCCTTGACAGATCCATGGACACTGCCCTTAGTGACTGGTTGGACCTACAAGGGGGAAAGACCAAGAGAAACCTGGCTACATTGGCTCCCAGGGTGATCAACCTTGAAACCCTGAGATTGGAAAGGAAGGAATGGATAGTTCCTTAATGCATCTGTTCCTAAGATACCCTAATTTCCTCATTAAAACACACACCAATCAGAACTATGTAGGACTTATCCTGGATGTAAAATACTACAATACAGACTCAATGTCTGTAGAAATTTTACTCCTGGTACCGTGAGCAAGAGGAGTTAAACCAGCCCTTTGACTTGCAGAAAGAATTGTTGGTGTATTGCATAAGTGACGTTGACAATCTAAAGCTCTGCTGCCTACAGTCGCAAGGGCCTAGGGACAAGGGTGTTAACCCCTTCAAATTTACAATTACCATAGCTGCAGCCTGTAACCTGGTATATCGTTGTAATTTCCTCACCACGGATACAATTGCAGTCCTCCCTCCTAATGGCTATCACAGGCATGCAACTGGGAAATCACAAAAAAAGAGGAAATTCAAATTTTTCCCAGACTTTGTACAGTGTTTTTCTATTTTCAATGGCACACATGGGAAGTAAAAAAAGAGGAAATCAGCTGATCCGAGGAAAAGTTGCATGCCTGCTATCAAACTACGGATAAACAACCCCCCAAGGCAATCACCTGGTTAAATTACATTAGTCGCAGGGAAAGCAAGCATATCCGACACACTCAAAATGGGGGAGAGCTAAAAGTTGGGAAATTCAAAATGAACGGATACTGTGAAGAGGGGGCGTCTGTATATGAACTCAGCGGTTGTTTTTGGCACAGATGCCCCAAGTGTTACAGACCCGACACTTTACATCCCATGCAACAAGTATCTATGCACGAATTATATACACACACTCAAGAAAACAAAGCTTTCATTCAGAATCAAACCGGATTGAATTACATAATCATATGGGAAATGCTAATAGAATGCACGTTTGCAGGTTTACCAGCAGAGTTGAGCGCATCGTTAACGAAAAGGATTTCCGACCATGATGAAATGTATCTTAATCTCAGAAATGCATTTTAAAGAGGTAGGACAAACACTGCTGGTTTGTCAATGCTGGAAGATTCACTCGAGTACAGATGCACATTACTCAGACCAGAAGCTTCCGAGGGACACCACTTACTTGCAGGTGGAGACATCACAACAGTTTTTCCTGTTTCCACTGCCCAGAAAATCGTTGGGGAATGCCAAATGGTATTCCCCTTTGAAGATTTTGTTTCAAGATATGCGTTCTACAAACAAGACATTGCAAAGCAGGTGTATGCCATAGTGTCAAGCGTTTTAGAGAACTGTGCACTAGCCGGTCCGAGTTGGGATCAATCAGATACATCACACACGGATTTATCATCGGCATCGACAGGTACATCTCAACTGACCAGTTTGAGACCAGTCATCATCTCATCATCCACTGAATCAGATTGATTGTTTTTGTAAATTTTTTGCATCCTGATCAAAGAATATGCAAATATCTGAGACGTGTGTTTGTCTAATATTTTGCGTGCATGGTTCAGTCCACAAGAATCAGTGCAATTGCTGAATGCTGCCTTTTATGCTCTTACTCAACACAAGGGCAAAAACCTAGTTGGTTTCAGTGCACATCGGTACTATTTTATAATCAAGAAGAATCTGCTGCTGTCCAAAGCCTTTGCCCAATTATGGGAAAATGCGTTAAGAGAACAATTTACTGTGTCATGTGGAAGGATAAAAAAGGAAAATCAAGGAAGGAGAAAAAGCCAGTTGTTGTTGTGTCAACACAAGCCTCGGTCAAAACCAAGCTCTTTACGAGGAAACAGGGTGATCCATTTGACATCCCGGAAGTCATACAGGACTATAACATGTCAATGAATGGATGTGATCGCATGGATCAAGCTGTATCATACTATGGACAGTTCACTCGCAAAATGATCAAGAGGTGGAAACGCATCTTCCTGTGGCTCTTGGAGATTTGCCAGGGTAATGCTTACATCTTGCATTCGCTAACACGTGCAGATGGCACCCCCAAGTTGAATTTCAGGAAGTTCAAGTACAATCTCATAACTCAGATTGAGGAGGCATCTGTTCAGATCCTTCCCCCCAATGCTGATGTGGCCAGGCCAGGACCAGGGAGAGTACAGTTGAGAGATATCAAGGGAATAAGCACCTTGTGAGGCATGTGAAGGATGACAGAAACTGTGTGGTTTGTAGCACTCCTGCCGCTCGCAAAAGGACAAACTTTGTGTGTTCTGGTTGCACTGGCAACTCGCATCTCCATCCAAAGGAATGCTTCTACAAGTACCATGCATCCAATTAGTTCATATTTCAGGTAAGTAATATTTTTATCAGTAATTTTCCTAATAACACTTTCCTTTCAGCATTACCGTGATGGACCGGATATGGATATTTCAAATTTCTAATATTTTACTAATTTCTAATTTGTGTACTTTCATTTCTAATTTTCGAAAATATTACCTATAGAGGATGTGACATTCGTAACATGTGACATGCGTCTACTTTTGCATTATTTACAATCTGATTAGCGTCTGGTCAGTAGATAAACTGGCATGTTATTGAATGACACATACCTGAATTGGTTCAATATGAAAAGCCCAGGCACAGATTTACCGGTTGTATTGTTCTTTGCTTCACCTACACTTCCCTTTTTTGGCGGAATTTTTAGTGATTTATTACGTACAAACGTGAAAAAATCGGAAAATTAAATTCAGTAGCGATAGAGTTAAGTTTTCATGTTAAAATTCACTTGCGTCTTCAGACAGAAGCAGTTACTCTCAGTGGAGGTTTCTGAATGTGCGATTGTATAGTGTTGGTGAAATAGTGAAATAGGAGGCTGTATATGATAATCAACACTGTTAATCAACATTTCACTTGAATAAAGTTAACCTTTCTCAACACTTAATAAGAATGCATGATGGTTTGTGACCTCATCACGCTCATTTGCACAAGTTATTGTTTTAAGAGAAAGGGCAGTGCAAGCTGGTGAAGAAGTCTTGTGAATAATTTTGAGCAGTCAAAAAGTAGTTCACTTCTAAATATAAGTAATAAAACCGTGCTACCTCAATGGGCACCATCTTATTTCACTAGCAAATCCTGATTTATTTGATTAAGGCGGCTGCTGTGCGAAATTTTTCTTGACTTGGTTATAAGTTGAACTGGGTGCAAGTTGACCTGGGTACCAGTTGACCTGGGTACGAGTTGACCTGGGTACGAGTTGACCTGGATACGAGTTGACCTGGGCACGAGTTGACCCGGGTACGAGTTGACTATAAACCACTCAAGCATCAAAGCTGTGAAGTGATGTACAGTGAACTTATGATGAGATTATAATTAGAAGTATGCAGTAAAATAAAACCATTAACAGCTAATTTTGCTGGTCCCAGTGGGCCAGTGTAGCTGCATTCACGCCCAGGAGAAAATTCAAATTGGGTCCCATAGCCATGGGATCCCATTACTTCCCAATGATTCCCATTGTATTTGAATGGGACTCGACATGGAATTTGGGACATACGTGTTGTATTCAATGGGAACTCACTAGAATCCCATTGGATCAGTCAGTTCTCATTAATTCCCATAAGGTCCTGTTGGTGTCCCATTGGTTGTCATTAAGTCTGACTGCAAAATGGAACAGGACTTATAAATGGGACTCAATTGGGATTTTCTCCTGGAGTCCCCTTTAATTTGTACCTATCCAACTGACTGACTGTCATTTGTAAGACAGGCAGTGCTATTGTATAGGATTACCCATCTTCACCAATGAATGGGCTAAATCTGTTTTTTTGTTTAAACAAATGCACAAGATGACTTCCAATGAATAGCCATTCTGAATCAATTGAATAGAATTGTGGGCTCTGGGACGGGCCTTACTGGACTTGGACCTAGTCTTTTTTGTAGCCAACTCTTATCCCTGAAGGAAACAACGTTGCATCCTGATGCCACTTTTTTCATCATATATCATCTCATTGAAGGTCAGTCATTGCAAAAGTGTTGAAAAGACATGAATCTGGGATTGAGAAACATTTCCAATTTTGTTGGAAAATACTTTGAAAATGCATTCAACTCTCCATAGACTTTGTACATGACCGAAAAAGGGGCATCTAGATACTACATTCTTTCCTCCCTCCAACTTAATTGAAAAGGATGATTCAGTCAGTTTGTACATCATAGTTAACTGATACCCTGTCAAATAAGAGTTGCGTTTGAGTAAATGAATGCGATCCAAGTTCCACACTACAATGTTCTATTCTTATTCTACCCTTTTAGATGTCCTTATGTGACGAGTTGGGCTTCCAATCTCTGTGACAGCTCACTGACGGTACGGCGCAGTCTAGGTGGATCGGTCAGGAAATACACGAACAGCCGACGCTGCTTGGCCAGCAATGGGTCTCCTTTTAACATCTGTCAAAGAAATGAGTCCAATTCAAAAACTCTTTCTATTTCATTCAACTTGGTGGCTTTGATTTAAATTTGTGATACACAGATGCACGATGCACGATGCTACCGGTATCTGACTGGTAGCACGATGCTACCAGTCAGATACCGGGAACGAGAGAAATATGGACTATAGCAGTTCAATCATGAACTGTATGTGAAGCAAAGTTTGACTAACATTGAACAAATGCTAGCTGATGACAGTTTAACCAGTTCATGCTGGGATTACTTAAACACGAACGGAACGAGGCGCAGATCACTTTTCACCCGACCTCAAGCCAGGTGGGTTGAAGCTATCACCCTCGGGCAGCACACTCATATTCCGGCCTCGCTTGCTACGAGCGGGTAGCTGACAGATATTTTAAAGGGAATGTACATCATTGGCTTTTGCTGTAATTTTCAGAAATGAACTATTTTGAGGGGTTAGTATAACAGATCAAATATTGTTACACTGACATGTTTGAAGTTTTGTGTTCGAAAATACTGGAAAAACCAAGAAAAACCAAAATGTTCAAATAGTCTGGTTCCCTGACTCCACTAAAGATGAAATGGATCAATTTATAGATGCCGGAAAATTGTAAGGTAATGGAACCAGTCTAACTGGCCTGCATCCGTTCATGAACATGTAACCAATAGCAAACAAAATTTGGACTGAAAAAAAATGGTAAATGTGGAGCAGTAGTTGGAAAATAGTTAGGTTTTTCCAACGGTGGTCGGCCGACCACCGTTGGAAATTTATACAAAATACCATTTTCTTGAAAATGACTTCACACATGGTGCCATAATTTTACAGGATGATTTAGACTGTCATTTACCAACATCCTAGTAAGGTATTTCGTAAAAAAATTGGTAGTTTTGTTTTTCGATGTTTGCAAATGTTGTATATTCCCTTTAAGGCCTCGCTTGCTGCGTGTTTATCTGTCATCCGTTCCAAATACTGCAAAACCTTGGCGGGTATACATGTCAACCAGCGCGAACTGGTTAATTCATCTGATCAACCATTTTGGAACCAACACACATTGTCATAAGCAATGTAGAGAGAGAGCTGGAAGCCATGTTTTGTTGTATGAAGTTAAGCCATAATTCACCTGAGCTTGTGCACTCATTAATATAAGTGTGCATCTACAAGGCACATCTTGTATACACTTGATCAAACTGTTCCATGAATATTCTTTTAGCTTCAGTTATTCTCTTTCAATGCCACTGGTCAACTATTTACGCAACCTAATTCTTTTATCGTCACTGTCTTTTTGAGGTTCTGCAACATTTCTGAAAATTCTCAGACTGCAGGAACTGAAAGCACGTCACAATTGTTTGCATCAAACACAACAAAACAGTGCAACAGAGACTAGCATGTCATAGTAATCCTCACCTTCAGTTTGTTATTGTACTCCCCTATTATATCCCGAATGGTCTGCTCCAGTTTCTGTAGCGTTTGATCTAATCGGGTCATTCCATTCATCAACTCTAGGGGGCTGAGGACAGGCTGGCCATCAATCGTTGCCGAGCCGGCATACACCATGTCTTCACATCTTTTGAGCGTCGTTTCCCTGTAGATTTTGAGGAGTAACAATTTCAAAATCAATCTCTCCAACTGAAGAGATCACCTTGTTGATAAAACAATGAAAGCTCTGGATTATTTTAATGCACGTTTCCTTCAGTACTTACAAATCCGCCAGCCGGCTGTCCTGACTACTATTTGTAGACGACAGCATCTCCTGAACAGAAGACAGTCTTTCGGCAAGCTGTCTGGCGCCCTCTAGCAGGCTACTATAGGTCAGGAATAGCTGTTGGTGACCGTTCCTTTCTTTGTCATCAACTGGACAGTAAAAACACGGTTCAAGGGCTGTGTTGAGTAAAAATTCGCAGATTACTTGTTTAAAACTGATTTTCTTGCCTTAAAGGCACACAGGATCACTTGCATTTATTCTAAAAAGTAAACTACAAAATTATTATCAAAAAGCTTACTGGAGTAAAAATTGTACTGGTACTAAACACACTGTGAAATTATTCTGTCTGGCTTGCTGCCCACTTAGAAGAATCAATAAATGTAGATGATTTCCAACGATCAGTCAATGGACTGATCTTTGGAAATACAGACAAAATCATATTTCATGATAAAACAGTTGTGCATGGCGGGCTTTTTCACTGTTTTCTCAAAAAGTGTAATATCCACCGACTTGAAACTTGAACAAGTTTGGTTTTTAACCCTTTCATGACCACATTGTTTATTGACTTGGCTCTCCCCAGGACCAAATTGTTTGCTCAGTCATGCGGAAATCACTAGAGCGTGAACAAAATGACCACAAGTCCAAAACTCACTTTTTTCAACTCAGATGTTCACTGCCAAGGAGTGATTTAAATCATAGGTGTTGTGTGTAAAGTTTGTTCCTTGAACCTTACTCTTGTATGTGATGTAAAAATGAAGTCCATATGTGCAAATATAAGAAAGTTATGCCTGTTTGTTCGTCTGGTCCCATTTATCAAACTGCAAGCCATTTCACCACATGACCAAATGGCACTCCATACCTCAATTTTTGGCGTGGATACTTCTGAAGCACTTTTCTCATTTTTTTTGGTAATGGCAACACTATGAATAAACTACACCATTAGAACGATCCGAAAATACTCTTTCAGCTGGTATATGGTTGATGTATGGACGGTCAAACATATCGAAATGCCGCCTTTCTGAAAAGTAGTGAATATATCTGTGTTGAGGGTGTTCTGTGTGTGGTTTCCTGGTCGACTAAAGTCGCCCATGGGAACCAGCAGGGGGGTTCTTCTTGTCGACAAAAGTCGCCCATGGTAAGGAAAGGGTTAACATTCTTCCTTGGATTTGGAGTGGTTTTTTTATTGGTTTCTTAATGATTCTATATGCCTTTAAAAATAACTGTCTTTCATCCTATTGCTGGAGAGTGATATTTACCAATGATGTTGTGTAGTCTATTAATGAACACATCTCGGCTGTCTATGGTGCTACGGGTACCTGATGGTGGCGCTAGACTAGGGTCTGACATCATACGCTGCAGACAAAATAGAATACAGGCTCATTGGGTCTTCAAAGACACTTTGACACAAAATATTCTTCCACCTTTTTTTTTTCATTTATAACACCTCACCCTCTGATTCTGTCTCGTAATTGGCCGAGAGCACATTACATGTATTCACATTTTTTAACCATGCATGCCAAAAAAGACTATACCACAGAAGCCTCACTCTGAAAGCATAATATACGCATAGCAACCAACGCAGCAACCACAGGTATGCGTACACAGGCACACAGACGTATGCGTTAAGTGCACATTGTTTTTGGACACTACAGGGTGAGTAGAAAAAAGCGAAACCCAAATGTCGGGACTTGTGTTTTAGTGAAGTTCTGCATGTAGCACTTTCAAAATCTAGGATATGAAAGTCCCATTCATAAGCTTTTTTTTAGTACAGGAATCATTCAGATCACCCACGTACATTTTAAGTTACAGAATTTTGAACGCAACCACCGTTTTAAAGTTCTGTCCATGGATCACAGAAAAGGTGTGGGTTCTTTCAGCAAAACGAACACAATTCACACACATCCCTATGTGATTTGTTTTCGTTTTGCTGGAAGAACGCTTACCTTCTTGTGATCTGTGGACAGAGCTTTAAAACGGTGGTTGTGTTTAAAATTGCATAACTTGAAAAGAATATGAGTGATTTGAATGATTTTTATACTAAAAGAAAGCTTATGGATTGGGCTTTCATATCCTAAAGTTTGAAAGTGCTACATGTAGAACTTCACTAAAATAATAGTCCCAATATTTGGGTTTTGCTTGTTTTGACTTGTCCTGTGCAGATTTGGGTACAAATATTTCATTAAGGGGTACTTTGAAAAAGTGCACGTAAATTTCCAACTAAACATGCAAACTGAAAAAGAAGTAAATTTGAATTAGATTTAGGTTTTAATTCACGAGATATCTCTAAATAAGTATGAATGCACGATAAGCTCTGGCCATCTGGCATGAAAGTCTTGCATAAAATCTATCCTTGCCCAACGCCTTAACGTAGCCAGAACTAGTATGTACATGTAGTGTGAATGTTGAATTAGTAACTGGCTACTTGTTCAACATTTAGTGTCAAACGGGGCACCGGTCTCCTTTCTGCACCAGTGAATGACCAAAATAAGCCCCCTAAGTTTCCCATAAAATATAGCGCGCTACATACCATGTGACATACCATGTGACTATATCTTGCCACCATTTACAAAATTGTCATAAACAACTTTTGAATTGCTACAAACAATTGTTAAGTATTTAATTGATAATGTTTGTTTTTGGGGGGAAGATTTAAATTTGGTATTTTATGGGAAACTTAAGGAGCTCGCTTTTGGTAAATTTTTCGAGGACCGACCGACCGAACGACCAGAGTGACACGTAGAAGCTCTGTAACAGAGCTTAAAAATAAGCAGATGTTGTGGATGATGAGGCAAACCAAGCAAACATCGACTGCTTTGACTCGTGGTACACTAGAACTAGCCCATCGGTGATCCATAGAGGGGTCCATCTCCTCCAGGTTTGCCTGGGGAAAACAGAACGCTTTACTACACAGCTCAAAGCAGTCAATATTTGTATACCAGTCAACTAGGAAGTACAGTCAACTATGGAGTGTCATGGCATAGTGGTTTAAAGCATTGGACTTTTGCTCTGGTGTTTCAGAGGCAACAGTGGTGTGGGTTCGAGCCCGGGTCTGGACACTTGTGCCCTTAAGCAAGGCACTTAACCATTATTGCTTCGTCCTTCGGATGGGACGTTAAGCAGTAGGTAAGTGCGTTTATCCTCATACATATGAGGCTGTACTTTCAAGGAAGGAAGGAAGTCAACTATGAAGTTGATCATTATTGCATCATTATTTTGAATAGGATAACGTAATATGATGGACAGAACACAGATATTGACAGACCATTCTGGTTTGCTGAGCTTGGAGATTTCTTGACAGTAACTGCTCTGAAGCGGTCAGAAGGCGATGAGTCTCCCGATGTCTGTGGGCCTCTACCTCATATGACATCAGTAGGAACTTGTGACGAGATTGCTGATTGATCAACTGTTCTATCAGCTGACAGTTAAACAAACAAAACATGTTATTAGTACAAAGCAGGAAGGCTAGCATCTTTGTTGGTTGATTGAGGTCAAATTCTCTTCTTGTTACATTGCCAAAATTTGATGGATATGAAGAGTGCAGGAAAAAGACAACTTTACAATGGAACAAAATATATCAGTATTAGGTATTTGCCCTTCACCGACGCAAAACACTTCACACTCAGAGTGTTACATCCCGAGGGAAAGTTGGAGAAAATCACTCAGGTGGGACTCAAACCCACACCCTCCTGCTTTCTAGTGCAGATGTCTTACCACTCGACCACCAAGCTTGCGGGATCAGTTGGCTGGTTCGAATCTGATGTACATGTAGCAGTGGGTACCGCAATTAAAGTATTCATAAGATGGAATATGCGTTGGGGTGATGTATATCAATATTAGGTTTTTGCCCTTCACCGACGTATAACGGTATACTCGGTGTGTTACCTCCCTAGTGAAAATGGAAAAACCCACTCGGGTGGAACTCGAACCCATGACCTCCTTTTTTCCATCTTTCACTCGGGAGGGTAAAACACTGAGTATACAGTGTTTATATGTCAATGAAGGGCAAAAAACCTAATATTGATTTACTCCACCCTGACGCAAATTCATCTTATAAATAAGAAAATATATGTTATTGATAGACTAACTTGATCTTGTTTGGACGTAAAGTAATCCTGCCTCATAATCTTCAGGTTGTAGTCTCCATACAAGACTCTAGTAGCTTGCAGCATTGCATTCTCTTGGATCAGGTCATGGAGATCAGTCTCTGCGACCTTTGACCCAATCCTCTGGACAGTCTGAAGTTTGCATTGCAACTCCTTTAGTCTATCACTGATAAACAAAGACAACAATTAAAGTTGAGGAATCAAAGACCAACAAAACTTAATAAAAACTGATATATGACTTTTTGAATATCTGACTCACAACTGTACAATGTATGCTGCACTGCAATCACATATTATTCTTGGCATATGGTTTACCTGATAGTAAATGTGCTACACATGGTGTAGGCACCTATCTGAAAGTTCCGACCCATGGTGTTATGAGCAATCACGGCCAGTTACTGTACACCAAACGTCCCTCAACATTCTGACATGTGTGCACTTACGTTTGGCTGGAATGATACAACATGGCATTGGGGAAACAAATGGCCCAGGTGCAATGTGGGTGGGACTAATATTGCAGAATGGTCCATTCGTGTTCCCAAGCTGTGAAGTCGGAAAGTATGTTTTACATTTTTCTAAGTGGCAACCTTGTGGATATGTTAAATCAAGGTATTTCTAAAGCGAATCATTGCTATGCTGTTTAGCATTGGTTAACAAGGAGAATTTTAATTCTCTCCTACCTCAGCTCAGTGACGTTGCTTGGGTAGCCATGATTGCCTAGGGATTGCAGCTTGTCACCAGTGAAGTTGCAGGCCGCCAGCAGACGTGCTTCCTCAACTTGAGCTTTGATGCGCCTTCTCTGACTTGTCGGATAGCTAGGGAGACATATGGAAGAGAGCTTGACAAATGCACAGAGTTTAAAGACAGACATTCCCAAAAAGATGAAGATAGTCCTCTTTTGAGGCACACAACTTGTATCTTACCATAGCAGAAAATGTTCTTACTTTTCTACGCTCAGCAAATCAAAACTTTAAGTCAAGCACAAGAGGATGGTTCTACTTCATGTGAATTTGGCGTCACATACGTCAGCAAAATCGCCGGAGTTGAAATGTATTCAACTTTTACGAATTCGCTGTCGCACTGAGTAAAAACCAGCTTAACAGGAGAATACAATGACAAAGTAATGCCATTGTCAAGTTCACTGAAAAAGGTTGTCTTTGACTTGAGACTGAGACTCGAGTACACCTGTGAAGTAATAAATATATGAAAGTAATGAAATATAAATATATAAGCAGTCCACTCATAGTTCCCCTAAAGCAGGCAGGCATCCCTCTTGGTGCTTTGAGGCACATGGAACAAAGGGGTGTGTCTTGAAATGCAATAAGCCACGACCCACTGAAGACAAGATGTCAAATCAAACAGCTAGCCAGAAACTGGGCAACCTCAGAAATCAAGGAATAGTATACAAATATTGAGTGGCTCAGAGTGAAATGGGAGGAATATTATCGCAAGGTAAAATCTGGACTTTCCCTTCGCCTCGTGAACTGGAAAAATCCAGATTTTACCGAGCGATCCTATTCCTCCCATTTCACAATTTAAGCCACTCAATATTTGTTTTATATAACTGACATATAGATCCTTGTCATTTGACATATTTGAACTTTTATTTCAATACAAAATTGGTGGAAAATGTACTTCGCTCTTCCAAACCATCCCTTCACGAAAATGTTTGAACCCAACCCTGTAGTACTGTCTCTTTAGAACAATACGTGCTACGCGCAATGCTGAACGCGCACACCAGCATGCATCTGCACACAAATACCGCGTCATGGAACAAGAATGATCCTAACTGTTGAATAGTATTTCCCATTCCCCATGGGCAAATGGGACTTTTTGAGCCAGGGCATGAATGGGAGCAATAACGAATGTCACATGATGTGAGTTCCACCAATCAAATGAGCAAGGATCTGTATATGAGTTATATAATTTTAGATATTTAAACTCAGACAACCAAATAGACTGACAGAGAATATAACAGCACTGTTAAAGATTAGCTTACAGTGCTTGGAGTCTGGCTAGTTCTTTGCAGTCACTGTTTGTCACGTGTTGCTTCTCTCCTCTGATGACCAGACTGCTGGGGTTACTGATGTCTAGGATCTGGTAGCGTGAACCCTCATCATGCCCCACAAGATCAGCAATGCCCTGATATATATGATCAGAAAGGAGACGAATACAGTCAATTCAACATGGGGCACCATGCTTGTGCGCATATTGCACGCGTTCTTTAATTTGATGTGCAAAGGTTATTTGAAACTCCAATGCTCCAAGGTGCTCTGAGTGTATGCATACCATCTGCGTACCAGCATGGCGTCACCTCAGTAACAGCATATAATAAGCCTCTGTACTGATGACGTCACACTTTGTTTATTTGTGCGCTTTTCTACGCGGCTACGTCATCCCCACCAGGCTTCTATAGGAGCACACGGGCAAACAATGTGTTAAGTCAACAGTACAGATTCTGTTTTATGCATTCTTCTTCCAACTTGTCAACTGAAAAGTTGTATAGCCCTTTGGTCTGCTTGCAAATGAAACATGAAATAGTTGCAGATACATCAAAAAGGGTCACAATTACTGACCTCAAAAAACTGCTTTTTGGTGAAACTTGTCAACTCTTGGGTGAATCGTTCTTCTGAGTGGTGATAATGCCCAAGAGGCTGCTGGGACAGGAATGCGGCATCCTGGGATGTGTTTGATGAACCAGTGGCAGAGTGCAAGCTGTCTATCCGGTGATACAACTCCAGCAGGTCTTTAGTAGACTGGCATAGTCTCTCCAGGGCTGTGTTCATCTGTGAGCAAATGTTCCACAGACATATTTTGAAATGTTGAAATGGTTATAGACCAGAGAAATGACGTCATTGTGTGCATTCTTAAGGGAGCTTGGTGGCTCTCGTCTCCACCGTGCTTCATAGGAACGGCCATGTAAACAAAACATGACATAATGTTTCAGGGCTATTTAGTATTAAACACAAGATTTTACTCTTTACATACGGCAAACAAATTGGCTAAAATTGGTGCCTGATGGTTACTACGAGCCAATAGATTGAATGTGACTTGTCGTCTGATGATAGATATAACAATTGTTGACTGCTGTGATGTGGGATACGACATTTTTAACAATGTCATATCCCAAATCACAGCAGTCAACAATTGCCTTGTTTTATCGAGCCGTTAACTCAAAAAAGATAAATGGCTGTAACTTACTGTGTGAGATGACTGAAGGTTTTTATATCTAACTGAACACGAGACTGAGTGTTTGACGTTACAGTTCTCATTGTGCAAAGTTAGCACACCGACAGGTTCCACACGCGTGCACTGAACGCAGTGCGATATCACCCTCAGTGTGTGACATGCATTTTTATTGTCCAGACACATGGCCGTCCTAGACCAATGAAATTACAGTATCCAAGCACACGATATAACAATGCAATCTATTACTGTCTAAAAAGCAATTAATTCCGTACTCAAAAACCTACGACTGCAACTACGTTTACTCTGCACCATCGTACTTCTTAAGATCCGAAATGTTCTGCTCATTGACACAGATTAGTTTTTATACCTGAACATTGTCTGTTTGGTTCTGTTCAAGCTTCTTCTTGTACTGGTTTTTCGTTGCCGATTCGACCAGACCCATTTTGGTCAGTCTGTGGGTTAAGGCTGTGTGATGAAGGCTGAAAGGGACAAAAGAAAACGAGAATATTGCGAGTGAAAGTGAATGACCAAGATTGTGTGATATACAAATGTTGACTGCTTCCAGTGGTGCAGTAAAAACTAGCCTCCCGAGGTGATCCATGAAGCATTCTATTTTTCCCAAGGCGAAGCCAACGGGAAAATAGAATGCTCCATGGATCACCGAGGGGGGCTAGTTTTACTACGCCACGAGATGAAGCAGTCAATATTTGTTTTATAGCACCTCTCCCACAGATTCTGCTTGCTTTTAAGTGATAACTGATTAATTTAATCTGAATACAATAAAACTTTTTTTCTATTTGAATAGGAAATAAGTTGAAAATTAACTTGCACTTTTTCAAACTACCCCTTCACGAAATGTTTGAACCCAGCTCTGTAGCGCTCGCGCTTATACGCACAATGCGCACAGTCGGCCAGTCAAGACACAGAGTCTGTGGGTGAGGTGTTAAAATATCAACTATGGAACTGAACATACAGACAAAGATGAAAATTACCTGAGTTTATTTCTCTGCTGCAGCAGGTGTTCTTTCCGACTTTCAGCTGCTTGAAGCTCTTCTTCCATCTGCAAAATGTTGTCCCTGTTTGTGACAGAGAAATGGAATGGTAAGCAAATTACCAAAACTTTTATGTTAAGAAATTAAGAAGCCCAGATGATACAATATGTAGTGACTGACCTGAGCATTTCTGGAGAGAGTTCTTGTGTCTCATCTGGTACTGATGCATTCTTCAGAGCATCCTCTAACTGATCGCCTTCTAAGATGCCCTCACCAGATGATTCCAGTATCTTAAACCTGTACAAAATAAATACTGAATGGTAATAAGAGTGGTTTGCAACATACATTGTAGTGTACAACCACGTAGCTACTTTTTCTATATCTCCATAGTAATAATAATAATAATAATAATAATTAGTTCTTATATAGCGCATTACATACGAAATCTCAATGCGCTTTACAAAGAAATTCCTACAATACTTATAAAAAGCTAAATATATATTACTAGTCCATTAAAACAGTACAACCAAGTACAACCAGTAAAATAGTACAACCAAGCCTCTTTCACGCAGATGTCCCTTTAAACATTTTGCCTATTTCCCTGCCTTTATTCACCTGATCTTCATTATATGCTGACAGCTGACCTCACACATGAAAAGGTCTTTGGCAACCTTGAGAAAAAACAATGTGCGAATGCTGACTTTATCCTCAAAATGTGCTGTAAAAAATTGGCCTCTCAGTGGTAGCGTCTTGGTGGTCACTGTATGGTGAATGGTGGATTGGAAGAGGATATTCAAACTAGTATTGTGAGGTTCCGTTGGTTCCCAGGTTTCAATATGAGAACCGGAACCGCGAGTCCAATCTTTTCAAGAACTGGGTACCCGCTATACTTGGTTCCAGCTCCAAAAGAACTGGTTCCAGAGTAAATTACCCATTCTCTGAGCACAAAGCCCAGAGCCGAGAATCGACTCCATAGGAATTCAATCATCATGAAGGCCTGGGTCCCGGGGGGAATTTCACTCTAGCTAGTCAACACAATGGCGGGGAAAACCACACAGACGTTATACGGAGAGTCAGAGACAAACTGATCAGCCATGAGGCATAGAGCATTGAAACCAATACTGGCCCTGTGCCATGGATAATAAACATTTTAAATGACACAATTACTCATGGGGTGTAGTCAGCTCTGATTGAGCGCTGGAATTGGCTCGTTTGGACTCGGGTTGGGTACAAATTACCAGGCTCTGAACGAGTCACGGTTCTACCATTGCATGACAAATACATGTATAGAATGATTGACTGCGCCGCACATATACTCTACACTACCCATGTGAGCGACACTCAATCTCCACTGTAACTGTGGACACACTTGGAACCAGCTCTGATGGACCCGGAACCAGCTCTGATGGACCCGGCTCTTAAGTGCTGGAACCAGCTCTGATGGACCCGGAACCAGCTCTGATGGACCCGACTCTTAAGTGCTGGAACCAGCTCTGATGGACCCGGAACCAGCTCTGATGGACCTGACTCTTAAGTGCTGGAACCAGCTCTGATGGACCCGGAACCAGCTCTGATGGACCCGACTCTTAAGTGCTGGAATCAGCTCTGATTCAAAAGTTGGGTTTTCAACAAGTTTGTCGAGCTTCTGTTGGCCGCCATCTTCTTTGGATTGGCACTGTACACTTCACACATGCGTACCGTACTATGGCTAGCTTCACGTAAACAAGATGACGGCCAACACAAACTCGACAAACTCGTCATAAGTTTAACAATTCATAAGTTTTCCTGTAGTACAAAAATCGTTCAAATCACTTTTGTACATGAGTGATTTGAATGATTCCTGTACTTTAAGAAAGCTTATGGATTGGGCTTTTATATCCTAGATTTTGAAAGTGCTACAAGCAGAACTTCACTAAACAATGGTCCCAACATTTGGGTTTCGTGTTTTTTTGTTTCGTTTTTTGTTTTGACTTGCCCTGTATAGAGTGTTTTTTTATGTTCCGAAAATTACCCCTGTATACAAAATTTGTTGACAACGGGTTGACGACCATTGACGCTTGTTTACACCAGTTGAGGCTTGTTGACGCATTTTACTAATTCCCCTTCTCAGGCTATATATATAGACAAAACTTTCTTAATGGCTTTCAACAAGATAAAAATTACAAACTATATACAACTGTACACTAACTCGACAAAGTATGAATGCAAGTGCATCATCAGTTCTCACAATTACAAATATCTTCTCATGGGCATCTGTGCAAAACTCAAATCATGGTTATTCTTCGGAAAAAAATCAAAAGGTAAATAGAAAATCATTTCTCCAACAAAACAGATTTTAGGAAGAGAATATTTACTGCATACAGTTAGCTCAAATATGATCAGCAATCAAAAAATGAAACGAGCAATTGTCCAAGCAATCTACTTGGAATCTGGCAGTGGTACAACATAATGTGACTTCTTTAAAAAGTCAAGCTCGAAATATAAAACAAGAAATGTCCTGTAAGTCACATTTTAAGCCCACAGAAAAATCACGAAATCTAATAAATTGACTCAAAGTACACTAATCTTGGTCTTCCCTGGAAACTTTTAACAACACACCTCTAAAAGTGAATCCACTTGTATAAAGAGGACCATAATTGCTTTTTTCTTTGGCATGCTCTGCTCACAACATGTTTTTCAGACAAAGCAAGTTGACTTCAGCCAAATAAGCCAATAATAATCAAATTCAACATCCAAAACACATGTACATAGTACATGAAGAGAGATTTCCTCATCTGTCAATTCATATAAAATACCTGTAAAAGTCATGAGAAGGGAAAATCTGCATAAGTGTTCTGTTGTGAAAGTCTATGTTCTTCAATGGACAACAGTACTACCATAGAGCAAGGACTACTCAGTCAAGAATGAGCCACTGAACAAAGTCCCCCAACTCTTGCCCATGTGGGCAACAGGAAGTGTTGCATAACACATTCTTGTATTGTCCCCTGCACTGGGATACTCTTCATACATGTACAGTGTACAGTACACTGCATGATGAACCGTGTTTCTTATACCGTGAAGCTGTCACGCCCCAACTATCGCATCGGTCCCAACTATAGTTGGGACTGTCCCAACTATAGTGCGGCAGTTGGGTCGGCCTAACTATAGTTAGGACGGGAGTTGCGCCGGATGCTTCATGCTTGATAGATCTTGTTGGATTAAATGTTCCGCGGCGCTGGCACCGTGTATTCGTCGTGCATGCATGCCGCAAGGCTGGCCGGTCACGTGGTACTGCCTAGTTGGACGAGTTGTCCAGCTGCTGGGTTTTATTATCCAGCAACATTTTGCAAAATTCAAAGATTGCCATGGCCGGCCAACTATAGATGGGCCCCACCCATAGCTAATGTCAAAGGTCCCAAGTCGGACATGTAAGCAGAGCTGTAGGGAATGTTTTATAATCGTACATCAATGTAAACTATAGTTGGGACACCGCAAAATAAAAAGATCGGAGTGGCCCAACTATAGATGGGCCAGCCCAACAATGGAACTTACAGTTGGGACCGTCCCAACTATAGTTGGGACAGGCCCAACTATAGTTGGGCCAGCCCAACTATGGAACTACAGTTGGGACAGGCCCAACTATAGTTGGGACAGGCCCAACTATAGTTGGGACCGATGCGATAGTTGGGGCGTGACAAAGCTATTCACACAGAAAAAAAACAAGCTCGAATAATCTTGGAAGCTGCAGCCCAACTGTAGACCTGCTGTAGCCTATAAATCATGTTCATGTACCGGTATAAACTACATGTACTCACATGGTTATGACTGTAAATTGAAAAGGATTCCCAAGATTTTGTTGAAAGTAAGTTAGTGCAATGGAGAATTTTGTAGCATGTCGAACACCAATTTGTGTGCAGTACAGTGCTAGCCCCAATGCGAAATGAGTGACCTCATGACCCAACACTACAGTCCAGGACTGCAATAAATTGGTAGCTCTGGTCTTAACCTCAGTGGAGACCTGAAGCAGGTGTTGTTGGGCCAATAAGGGACAAGATAATTGATTGCAAAAAAACCCCAACAATATAGTGAAGTCTGTTACTAACCAACCAAGGGAAAGACATCATGGCTACTTGTTGTCAGCCCCAGATAATAAAGGGGGGGGGGGGGGCATAATTTCTAGTAAACAAGGAGGCCTAGTACAGTATGACCATGGAGCTATGCCCACATTTACAGTGGAGATCCAGTGTTGGTCACATAGGTAGAAATGTAATGCTCACATGGGTTACTGTACATGTGCAGTGCAGTGAATCTTTCTTTTCTTATTCACACTCAGGGGTTGTCATGATAAATAAATCGTTGGCAAGGAACAGAAAATAAAGCAATGAATGCAAAGTTTGCTTTTAATAACACAATCTCCATAGTTTCAAAGGAAAAAGACACATTTGAAACCAAATACATAATAAAATAGCATGTATTGAACGTCAAAATAAACAGAGCACGGACCTCACAAGATGACACCGTTATTCTTTACATGTAATTTCAAGGGCTTATGTTTTCATTCAGTTTTCTGGGAGCCGGTTCAACTCGGAAACCGGTTCTTTTTAGAGAACCAGAACCAGTTCCAGAAATTCTGGAACCGTCCAATACTAAGGGAATAAATGTGTGCTCCGGAGGTTTTTATCACTCTGCTTAATACCACTTAGAGTCTGGGTGCTGATAATTACCCGAGCCGGAGGCGAGGGTAATTATCAGCACCCAGACTCTAAGTGGTATTAAGCAGAATGATAAATACCGACGGAGTACATATTTATTCCCATTCATAAATACCTTTTCGGTAAAAAAAAATCATATAATTCGTTCAAAACATCCCGATTTTGTTCAACAAATTCACTTTATGCTTTTTGAAACATCCCTCCTGCAAAATAATGGAGTGTTCAGCTGGCGAGTAAGATGAAAACAACCCTTTTATGGAGATTGACGCGCGCGTATCATGTTCTACGCGATGTCGCGCAGAACGCACCTGGCGCGTTGCGTTTTGAATTTAGAACTATAAAATTCTAACTCCCTGGTAGTGTTGCGCATGCCTACGTGAGGATTGTGAACGTTCAACCAATGAAACGATAAGAGGCACTGGATTTTTAGGAGTCCACATTTTATTGTGACACTGGAAAAGTGTTTAAGACCAGCTAGCCATGTCTTTATCATCCGTTTAATCCTGGCCACGTGACGGGCTCTCGACCAATAGGAATGGCTAAACTGTCTGAGGTATTTATGAATACAAATTCAAACCTCCTTTTCGTCGCCAGCTTATTATTAACATATAATGAACCCCAACTAAATAGTGTTCCATATGTTTGCTGGATCTTGTTAAAACTTTAAAATCAAAAAATGAAATGACTTAGTTTAGAAATTTTGTTTGCTTTGCTACTGAATGAATTTTAAAAAGTCATAATCGTCGTGTTGGCATTGTTGCGCTTTCTTGCCATTTGTGCAATCATAAGAATGTGCATGCGCATTCTTATGATTGCGCAACTGGATCCTCGCGCAATCTTCGGCCAAAAAAAAATCTTCCAGATTGAGTGCACATTCTTAAGAATGTGCAACAAGAGAAGCGATCTTTTCGATGCCGAGAACCGGCTGTGCTAAATGAGTCTAGCTGCATCCTCGTTCACTGATTAATTCTTGGGCCGTACTTAAATAAGTATACTGTGGCAATGCGAATTCACTAGGCAAAAGATATAACAATGTAAAGTAGAGATGAAATTATTATGCGTATTGGGGGAAATGATAAAAGAATTATGATAACAAAAACACATAACGTGTTCCTCATGATCACTCAGCATGTGTACGGTGAGGGACTTGTAACTTGTCTAGACTAAACAAGCACTTCCCAGACTAGTTCCCAGTCCTCCGTTATTACAAAACTTCCCATAGGGGGACAGAAAAAAGCAATAATAACAGCTTTAATTGAATTCAAATTATCGTAGTTCAACGGGTACAGAAGCATAGATCATTTTCTTTTCTCGTCATATGATTATTTCCCCTTTATGTTTATTTTAACATAGTAATGCCGTGTAGTGTTTGTTAAGATTGCGCAAAATTCATAAATTGCGCAAGTAATATTCCCAAGCAATCTTAAGAATGAGTGCTCATTCTTCAGATTGCGTGCTCATTCTTCAGATTGCGTGCTCATTCTTCAGATTGCGTGCTCATTCTTAAGAATGCGCACTCATTTTTTAGAATTCGCGCTCATTCTTAACATTGCGCAAATTGCAATAAAGCGCACAACATGATTAGTGCCAGAGAAAATCTGAACCAAAAAAAAAAGCTTACTCTCTAATCTCCTGTTCGGACAGCAGGTTGGAAGGTCCCACATTATCACAGAACCACTCCAAGAAGGGTGTCACCGCCTCATCATCAAACATCCAATCAAATCCTTCAGCTTGAAGATCATGTGACTCTCCAAAGCCAATCCTCTGCAAAGCCTCAACCAATCGCCTGCCTCCACTCATATTGGTTGAATTTCAAAATTTCACCTCTCAAAGAAGAACTGCCCATAAGAAAAGAAAAAAGAAAAAAAAAGATATTAAAGACAAAATACCATCAAGGGTCATTTTAAATTACAATTCATAAATACCTAAGACAGTTTACGAATTCCTATTGGTCAAGAGCCCGTCACGTGGCCGGTCTTAAACGGATGATAAAGACATGGCTAGCTGGTCTTAAACACTTTTCCAGTATCACAATAAAATGTGGACTCCTAAAAATCCAGTGCCTCTTATCGTTTCATTGGTTGAATGTTCACAATCCTCAAGTAGGCATGCGCAACACTACAAGCGAGTCAGAATTTTAAAGTTCTAAATTCAAAACGCAACGCACCAGGTGCGTTCTGCGCGACATCGCGCAGAACATGATACGCGTGCGTCAATCTCCATAAAAGGGTTGTTTACATCTTACTCGCCAGCTGAACACTCCATTATTTTGCAAGAGGGATGTTTCAAAAAGCATAAAGTGAATTTGTTGAACAAAATCGGGATGTTTTGAACGAATTATATGATTTTTTCTTACCGAAAAGGTATTTATGAATGGGAATAAATATGTGCTCCGTCGGTATTTATCACTCTGTTTAAGACCACATAGAGTCTGGGTGCTGATAATTACCCTCGCCTCCGGCTCGGGTAATTATCAGCACCCAGACTCTAAGTGGCCTCAAACAGAGTGATAAAAACCTCTGAAGCACACATTTATTCCCTTATTTTTACAACATTATATAATGGCAGGTAGCCCACATGTAACCTTTAAAATTATAGTCAACACAAATGTTGCCATTAGTTTTCCCTTAATGTGGGAGGGAAAAACAAAATGCTGGGCAGTCAAAGTCTTTCAATATTTATAAGCCAAGTCAGGCTTTCAGGTTGCAGACCAGTAAATAAACTGCCATAGACATCAGTGATAATTATAGTCCGAGTTACATACATGTACTGGTACCCAACTTATCGCCTGTTTATATAAACTTTTGAGCATGATCTGGTGAGTAGGCCTTCTCGATAAGATCATGTCCAAATGTTCAAAAAGGGTGATAAATTGGGTCCAAGTATATACTTGGATCATGCTTGGACTAAGTGATAATTATGCCCACTTCCAAAAATTATGAAAAATACTCACAACTCTTCAATCTCTTTTGAGATACACATCAAATTAAAACACATTTCATCATCTTTCTGTTCTATTTAATTTATCCAATGACATTTGGGAGAAAATTCCTTCACAAAACATCACCTCTAAAATTAGTCTTAAACCAGACTGTACTAGTGAAGAGGTCAGTTTTTTTCAAACTGTTGAACATGTACCAGTCTAGTCTAAGGCTTACACATTTAAATCACTTGGCTTCACACTCAGTGTAAAACATTGAAGAAAAGTCTCCTTAAAAAATTGAGTTGAGACTTCAAACTTGACTGGTGAAATACTGAGGACCTCGTCTTTGCCTCATGACAATTTTGGAGAATTTTGACTGCTGAAAAGTGAGTCAAGTTGGCCTGAATTTGTTTTGCGTGTTTTTCTGCACTCAAGGTCCCAGTTTGCCCTTAAAGTAGTCCTCAGCTCATCGCCATTTTGAGAAAGGATGCCTATGTTCTATTGCAAAATACATGTAGAGCCATTTTAGGGCGCAATGTCATCTGAATTTCACAGAAATAGCTTGCAGTCCTGTTCATGGCTTCCACCCTGGTAACCTCAAGTTCACAGTCCGCATAATGCTCTAATAGTAATAGCCACAAAAATTGAGGGCATGCAAATTGTGATTTGGCCGGCGTAGGCAATGTGCCAACTCAGCTTTCAAATAAACAATAAACATTACAAGATCAAGATGTTAGTCCAACTGTACATGGGCGGTATCAGGTCAACTCGGACCCAAACCAACTCGGACCCATGCCAACTCGGACCCACTTCCATCTCGGACCCACCACCAACTCGGACCCATGACCAACTCGGACCCACCACCAACTCGGACCCACTACCAACTCAGACTCAAGAACGACCAACTCGGACCCAATATGGATTTTATTTATAGGTCAACTTGTATTCTAAATATATTGGGCTTTTTATTGATTTCTGTTGCTAAACGCTTATAAGATTGTTTATTTGTATTTTTTAAGCGCCGATTTTCTTTAAAAAAAACACCACTTTTTATTAAAATAACGGAAATGCAAACTGCATCCAACTTCCAAAATATGAAAAATTTTGCCTTCACAATTAATTTCCCGAAAGCGGCAGCATTCTTTTCTGGCTATGCAATCGGCAGTCCCAGGCATCACATGGGAGCGCCCTAGCAACAGTATTTCTAGGCAACCAGGTTGGAATGTGACAATGGCATGCAGTCTAGTCTTGGCCCAAGACGTCAGTGATCAAGAGCTCGATAGTTGCAATGTTCTGTATGTAGCGCCCTTGCATATATAATTGATTTGTTTACGTTCTCTCATGGAGGCGTGGCCATTTTGTCAATTAGACCATCTGTACTAGCTCCGTGCATCTCGACCGTTGATTGGTTCCCGATAAAGTAGCACCGTCCACAATCGATCACTACAATGTAGCGTGTTGAGCCAAGACTACATGCAGCCATGCACCTGTGGCAGATAGCTGGGAATTCCAACATTATTGGCTGATTATTAGCAATCACTCCAGTTGCGCGTGGAAAGAAGTCATATTCATGAAAGCATAAATGGTCCGTGATGGAAGCAACCAACGCGTATTTATTTGCTGGGAACCAGGTCATTTCATTGGCTGAGATATAATATTATCATCACATTATCAGCAAAAACACTCCAATTACTTGCGGCATGTCTTCGAAGTCCGGTGGCCTACAGCTGAACCCTAATAGATACTTTGTAAAGAACAAGATTGGCATTGTATCAATTTGAACAATGCGGCTATCACCTGGAAAGGCTTTTTCGGTTCTGGATTTTATTGAGTTTTATTTTCAAAGACCGGGGAAAACTTTATACGATACGAAAAGTGAGGAAAACTAAATTAAACATGGAATTTCACCCATGTAATTTAGGCCTGTATCGTGAACATACATGTACATGAATAAATGATTTTTTTTGGGGGGGGGGGGGGGGGTTGATATTACAAATAATTTATTAAATGTATGTCTTTTTTTACTAAACCAACTTGACAGGGGCCTTTTTTGACGACTGCATTTCCGTTAATAGAAATTAACTGACAAGAATTTTAAAAAGGTGTCCTTTTATTTTTCTTACCTTACAATTACAATGAAAAGTTATACTAAACAGCATCACTGTATATGTTCATTAATGAGAAGTGGACAAACTTAAATGAAATGTCTAATGATTGAAAACGGGCCCTAACGTCAACGATGGGTCTGAGTTGGTCATGTATGGGTCCGAGTTGGCAGTGGGTCCGAGTTGGTAGTGGGTCCCAGTTGGTAGTGGGTCCGAGTTGGTCGTGGGTCCGAGTTGGTAGTGGGTCCGAGTTGGCGTGGGTCCGAGTTGGTAGTGGGTCCCAGTTGGCATGAGTCCGAGTTGGCTGGGGTCTGTTGTGCGCTTTCTTGAAAATCACGCAATCTTAAGAATGCGCGCGCATTCTTAAGAATGAGTGCGCATTCTTAAGAATGAGCATGCGTTCTTAAGAATGAGCACTCATTCTTAAGATTGCATGGGAATATCACGTGCGCAATTTATGAATTTTGCACAATCTTAACAAACATTGTACGACATAATTATGTTAAATGTAATGTATAGCGGTTAAAAGGGAAATAATTCATATAACATGTATAAAGAGGAAAGAAAATGTTCTAAACTTCTATGCTTCTGTACTCGTATAACTACGATAATTTGAATCAAATTAAACCTGTTATTATTGCTTTTATCTGCCCACTATGGGAAGTTTTGTAATAACGGAGGACTGGGAACTAGTCTGGGAAGTGCTTTGTTTAGGCTAGACAAGTTATAAGTCCCTGTATGAATCATATGCATGCCAGGAAAAGAAAAAAAATGTCCAGAAGCTGCTACTAGCTGGAGTTACCCAGCCCTACATTTTTTCATTGGGTTGTCATTTAGCCCAATGAAAAAATTTAGGGCTGGGTAACTCCAGCTAGAACTTGAAGCTGTCAAAATTGCTCTTTTGACTAGATAGAATCCAGCTCTGCGGTGTAACGGAGGTGGTGTGAACAATTAATTGGTGGCAATTTAAATGGGAAATAGCATTAGCACTATGGGAGGTCACAGTATTCATTCTTCACATTCTTCATTCTTACGACCGTTATCTTGTCCCGCATTCTAATAAGACTTAAGAATGTGCGCACAATCTGGAAGAGTTATTTTTTGCGAAGATTGCGCAAGGATCCAGTTGCACAATCTTAAGAATGTGCATGCGCATTCTTCTTAAGAATGCGTGATTTTCAAGAAAGCGCACAACAGGTCCGAGTTGGTTTGGGTCCGAGTTGGATCGAAACTCCGAAACCACATGGCCAACTGAGACTGACTATTATTAAAATCGACAGTCAGTGCTTATAAATGTAAACATGTAGGGTATTTACCCACGGGTTGATATAACAAACCATCAAATACCAAAAATTATAGTGCTGGAGCAAAACCTAACTGCACTGCCACAGCTGCAACTCGGGATCTTCGCCAGACTGGGACCGTGAGTGCATAAAAACGTGCAAAATTACAACTGACGTTTTTTTACTCACCATTAGGCTGATTAATGCCCACACAACACATACATCAAAATGCTATAGTTGCAAGCATGTCACCTGCGAAATTTGAGACCTTAAATCCAATTTTAAGGCAAGTTTTTGGCAGTTCACAAACCATCCACGTCATTCTCCATGCTCTAGAAATGTATGTCTGATTCCCAAGGTATTCTGGGTAGGTGCAGGAAGAGCCTTGCAGCTTACTTGTTTTTTAATCGATGGCCAAATGAACATAGCGCCCTCTGTTAAAAAATGAAACATTTTGCATTCACTCAGATCAACAAGAGGGCGCTGTTTTATCTACACGATGAAAATGTTATAGCTGAGGAGTCTTTTTGCACAATGCATTGCAGTACACATCAATGTGATGTCTCACGTTTGGATTTCGATATCTCTCTGCAGTATTGAGAGTCCCAAATTTTCGGACTAGATCTTCGCCTGATCAAATTTTCGCGCTTGTACATGTACCACGAGCATGCAGTACTCAGGCATGACGTCAGGCATGTCAGATGGCGCGGCACCGCGCAACCCTCTAATAGGCTCTATCACATCTCTACAACTAGATAAATATAATGTGTACAAATAAAAATAAAAATACATGTAACTAATATTTAAAAATAAACATGTATTGAATTTATTTAAGTTGTGGTTCTTTTTAAAATTTTGATTTTTTTTTTCTGAAAATTATCAGATTATTACATTGTTTTTTTAGAAATAGCCTAAACATTTGAACAAAAAATGGCGGTCCGCTAGCAGCGGTTGTTTTGATGAAATTCAGCGGCGGCTTATGTTTGACATTGCATTTTCAACAGTGTCAGGTATCCTTGTTTTCATGCCCCCAACAAATCAACGATGTCAGCAGAAAAGGAGAGAAGAGTGAGTAGATCTATAGTAGTACAGTGTTAGTCCGAGTAACTTGGACCCAACTTATCGCCTTTTTAAAGGGAATGTAGCCTACATACATTATTGGCTTTTAAGTTTTAGCTAGCCCGACTGCGTCTGGCCGTCAGGCCGTACAGTACTATCGCAAGCTCTGTAGTACGGCCAGACGCCCGATGCTTCCACAGAGACTGAATTTTGTTGGCCGCCGATGTAGCGATTTTGCTACATCTTTCGATCGCGATTATCTTTTCATCCAGGACACAAATTTCCAAAGTTAAGGTTCGTAGTCGTAGAGCAACTCATACCTTTTCGAAAAAACGTTCTTTGGTCTGAATATTTTCATCCATCTGGCCACAAGACGAATTTCAGTCATCGGATTCCACAAATATCGTCCCCCATGCGATCCCCATGCGATTTCAAAATGGCGGCCGCGCTGTAATGTATGCAATATGCAGGCGCGCCCGCGCAAACTCATGAATATGCATAAACAGTCTGTGACGTATGACCTCGTGTTTTTGGACGTACGGCCCCGCAGCACGCATGTCCAAAAACACGAGGTCATACGTCACAGACTGTTTATGCATATTCATGAGTTTGCGCGGGCGCGCCTGCATATTGCATACATTACAGCGCGGCCGCCATTTTGAAATCGCATGGGGGATCGCATGGGGGACGATATTTGTGGAATCCGATGACTGAAATTTGTCTTGTGGCCAGATGGATGAAAATATTCAGACCAAACAACGTTTTTTCGAAAAGGTATGAGTTGCTCTACGACTACGAACCTTAACTTTGGAAATTTGTGTCCTGGATGAAAAGATAATCGCGATCGAAAGATGTAGCAAAATCGCTACATCGGCGGCCAACAAAATTCAGTCTCTGTGGAAGCATCGGGCGTCTGGCCGTACTACAGAGCTTGCGATAGTACTGTACGGCCAGACGCAGTCGGGCTAAGTTTTAGCCTACTCCTAGAACTATGAGGCTCCACGTAGTGGAGCCTCATAGGTTCAGAAGCCCGCAAAATTGTTGTCAGCACAAAACACTAATTAAGTACAAAAACGTCCATCCCAAGCAAGCCGTTTTCCACAGAACCGCTGCACAGTTTGCCCCTAAACTCCATACAATACCTCATGACATACTCACGTTATGTGCACCCAACAAACATCGGTGGATTCTGTCTGTTTTTCGGCAAAAATGATGAAAAATATGCCCTTTCCGCACTGAGCCAACCTAACACTTGAAACGAGCACGCGTGCAGAATGATCGCAGTTATTTTCGGTTCGATCGCTCGGAGCGCGCCGCGGGGGGTACGTACTTGCACTTGTATGCATGTGCATACTATCGTTCCGCTCCTACACCATACCCCCCGCGGCGCGCTCCGAGCGATCGAACCGAAAATAACTGCGATCATTCTGCACGCGTGCTCGTTTCAAGTGTTAGGTTGGCTCAGTGCAGAAAGGGCATATTTTTCATCATTTTTGTCGAAAAACAGACAGAATCCACCGATGTTTGTTGGGTGCACATAACGTGAGTATGTCATGAGGTATTGTATGGAGTTTAGGGGCAAACTGTGCAGCGGTTCTGTGGAAAACGGCCTGCTTGGGATGGACGTTTTTGTACTTAATTAGTGTTTTGTGCTGACAACAATTTTGCGGACTTCTGAACCTATGAGGCTCCACTACGTGGAGCCTCATAGTTCTAGGAGTAGTTTTAGCCCAGGTTGTTCGAACTTCGAAGTCTTCATTGCGTTACGACTGACGTCCAGGTAGGGTGGTCGGCAATTTTGGGTTTTTTTTGTCCAACTAGTACAAACTTGGTATCATTCATGTCATTGGAAAGAGCTTCCAAAAAGAAAACAAATGGTACCAATTATAAGTTTACACCTTAAAGTATGGACTATGTACTCCTAGAACTATATGAGGCTCCACGTAGACACTAGCCCCACTAGTGTGGCCGTCGGTATGCTGCGCTGAACCTCTGGCCACACACCGTGGTACCGTGCGCTACTGACACTACTACTGAGGACGAAGTTTTCATAAAATCTGCGGTCCGTTTCTTACATTCTCAGTTTCTTACTTTCTTATGGTTGTATTCTATGATGTCTCACCTATCACTTCTGGGATGCTTAGGTCTAATGATGTTCCATTTTCCGAGATATTCTTCAATCTTTCTGGAGCCCATATGCACTCGTGAAACGTCTGGTGATGGCAGCCATTTTGAATGGGACAAGAGATGACCTCAAGCTGTGACGTCGCGTTTATGCAAATTGCTTGTCGAGCGCGCGAGGGTGCGAGTTGCAAATGCGACGGCTGTTTCCTGTACCATGCATTTATCGTCAGGGGGCCACGTGCACCGATCTCTATTCAGGATCTACGGCACAGGAAACAGCCGTCGCATTTGCAACTCGCGCCCTCATCATAGTTCTAGGAGTATGGACTATGGTGAAGTTTAGCTGGAGTTACCCAGCCCTAAATTTTATCATTGGGTTGTCATCTAGCAATAGCATGTCTAGGCATGCTAGGGCTGGAGATAATTTTTCACGTAACCCAGCAGCGTAGGCAGGTCCCAAGGAAAATGTTCAATTTTGTCCCCGTTACACACTAATTCAGTAATTGCAACTGCAACTCACCCCAAACTTGCCTGGAATAACCATTACACAGGTCCTTGAAGTAGAAAACGATCCACGATGAAGATTCAGCCTACAATTGCAGTGAAAAAAGGAGGAATAACCGCTAACCTGACAACCTTGCAGGCATGGCCAGGACCGCAATTGGTTTGTGCACAAAAAAAATTGTGTACAATCATGACAATGAATGGCAGTCGATTACCAGGCACAGCGCGCTGTCAACTAGTCGTTTTTTGCCGGCTGCGCTGGCTGTTGGCGTATGACGTCACGCGGAAGCGTAACACCCAATGACTGTTTCATGCACTAATATGAGGTTTACCACTCGCATCACAGCTGCGGTACTGGAACCGCAACCGATAGTGCATGAAACAGTCATCGTGTGTTACGCTTCCGCGTGACGTCATGCGCCAACAGCCAGCGCAGCCGGCAAAAACGACTAGTTGACAGCGCGCTGTGCCTGGTAATCGACCGCCATTCATTGTACACACTTTTTTTTGTGCACAAACCAATTGCGGTCCTGGCCATGCCTGCAAGGTTGTCAGGTTAGCGGTTATTCCTCCTTTTTTCACTGCAATTGTAGGCTGAATCTTCATCGTGGATCGTGTTTTACTTCAAGGACCTGTGTAATGGTTATTCCAGGCAAGTTTGGGGTGAGTTGCGGTTGCAATTAGTTTGTAACGGGGACAAAATTGAACATTTTCCAAAAAATTCTGCAATTTTGTTTGGGACCTGCCTACGCTGCTGGGTTACGTGAAAAATTATCTCCAGCCCTAGATGACAACCCAATGATAAAATTTAGGGCTGGGTAACTCCAGCTACATGTAGGTGAAGTTATGGTCCATTAAATTTGAAGGGCATGTCCAACCCCAATTATTCCGCCAGCACAGTGCGGGGTGTAAAATAAAATAAAAAATTCCCAATCACCTCAAAATTTTAAGAAAAAAATAGTTGCAAGTAGATTTGAAGATTCCATTCAATAGCCATTCCGTATAATTGTTCCCCATATAAAATAGGTCCCGGCTTAATCTTACATTGTACCATCCTTTATTCTCATCTATACCGTATAATGTAGGCTAGCCACATCGAATCTTGTTCTTCATTATATTTTGAGTCTGACCACTCTTGACTCATATTCAGGCTGGGAACTAGAAGCCTACGGCAAAATAGCAAAAACAAAAATAAGCTAATTTTAACATGTTTAATGCAAATTTAGTTCAATTTTGGAAAATATTCGGAAACAGTGGAAATAATACCATATTAATTTTTTTGAGCAGAATTGCATATTTTTATTATGTAAATTTTCCCAATAAAGCAATCCACCAAAATTTACCCCAGTAATCACGGCATTATAATATTATTTCTTCATGCATGCATAAAGCATGGAGGAAGAATAGGCAGCCATTGTGACACCGCCGCGCGTCATATTTTAATCACCTTGCCGAAGGCACCCTGACAACAAAACCCCCAAGCGTCAAAAAGCGTCAAGGGAAACATAACAAAAAAACTAGTCACACAAACTCCTGAAATTCCACCCTTTCAGAAACTACCCCTTTTATAGTCTTTTATTTTTTGGCCGCAAAATCGTTAAAAATCTCACATTAGGAGTTCATGAACGACTCTTTCATGAACTCCTAATGTGAGATTTTTAAATCGTTAAAAATCTCACATTAGGAGTTCATGAAAGACTCTTTCATGAACTCCTAATGTGAGATTTTTAACGATTTTGCGGCCTCTTTCATGAACTCCTAATGTGAGATTTTTAACGATTTTGCGGCCAAAAAATAATGACAATCTGTACTTTTATTTCGTCCAAAAAAATCTCTAAACTCGGAAGGCAAAATACAAACTAACGTGCATGTTCTTGGTATGAGTCAAAAGAGAATTTCTTTGGCTTTACGATGATGTCATTGCTATTTTTGTCCGACAAAATCTCGGCAAATCTCGCCACAAAACCTGATTGAATGTCAAGTGCTAAAAACAAGATGGCCGCTCCCTGAGCGACTGCGATCACAACTTCCCGGAAATAAACATCGTTTTCAACACCAGATTTCACGATTTCGAATACGGCGATCATCCAAAGCAAATATATCATTGCAAAGATCCATCTGTTCTCTCCGTGATCATCTCGTCAGAGGAACTTTTCCAGTTCCAGAAAAAAGTAAAACTGCGCCAGCTTGAAACACACTTTCGCACGCAAATAGATACAAATGAAGATCGACCACGTTACGCCTACCTCCCTAGTCCAGAATGAGAATTCTCTATGTAATACCACCCAAAATTTTGACCAGATTTTTGTTACGTTTTACCTCGTTATAGAAGCTTATTTCACGCCTACATACAATGTACTCTATGTGTCCTTATCTATTGA